TGCAACTTTAAATGAGATATGCGGGAGGAGCTCGGAGAGAGCCGCTGCTCCTCCACATCGAAAGGAGCCACTTGAGGTGGCTCGGGCATCTTCTCCGGATGCCTCCTGGACACCTCCCTGGGGAGGTGTTCCGGGCACGTCCCACCAGGAGGAGACCTCCGGGAAGACCCAGGACACGCTGGAGGGACTATGTCTCCCAGCTGGCCTGGGAACGCCTAGGGGTCCCCCTGGAAGAGCTGGGGGAGGTGTGTGTGGATCGGGAAGTCTGGGCGGCTTTGCTAAGGCCGCTGCCTCCGCGACCCGACTCCGGATAAGCGGGAGAAGATGGATGGATGGATGGATGGATGGATGGATGGATGGATAAATGAGATACAAAATGCTCCTATTGTGTAAAAACGACAATTCCCTGTAGCAGGGCTGTGTCGCTGAAAACAAATTAGCACCATGATTGTAGTTCTTAAAGTTTTTAGAACAAGCAGGAATTATAGGGTTACAAGAAGGTATTTCTGTGATGTAAATGAAATACTTACTAAAGCCGAACTAGTGATGACACTACTTCTAGGTGATATATGCTAATAAAATGAAAACATGACGGCTTATTTGGGATATCTAATCTTTCATTAAATAAAGTGGGTGTAGGCTGGTGGTGTTTCTGGTTTCAGTCGTAGGTACTGACGCCGTATTTCAAACATATTGTACAACCGAACTGTCAGTTGCTTACGAACTAAATCATCTGTGGTGAGAAAAGTACATATATGGGTTTAATTAAGATATTCTAGTCACTGGGGCGCCGTTAGCTCACCTGGATGAGCTGGTCCCATGTGCAGGGCTACAGGCCCGATGTGGAGGTCATGGTCCTTCCCTACACATCCTCCTCCAGTCTCGCTCTCACTGCTCTATCCAATAAAGGCTCTAGTACTCTAGATACAGAGCTAATACTCGAGTCACAGCATTTCATAAACTCGAGCTTCCACAGGACGTGTCAGATTGACATAAAGAGCAGGAAGAGAAAAAAAACCTTAGTGGATTCCAGTCGCACTGGATCGGGAGTCTTCCTGTAGCAGTGCTGCTGACCAGTGATGGAAATAGATGGTAACGACCTACTGGACCCGCCAGGAGACAGAGTAAGGTTCTGTTGTCCCATACCGATGGGCTCATAACTGATAGTGCCCATTTGATGGAGTGGTGCAGTGCAATGATGTCAGTGATGCTAAACAAAGCTTCCAGTGGACTCCATGCCTTTCTGTGAATAAATGAATAAGATGTTTGTAAGCCTTTGTGGATGGTCTTTTTATATGAATGCATATATAACGGATCATAGCACATTTGCTGGCTATTCCAGAACACCAGAACCGGCTCCTCCTCCACGATGTCGTGTAGTCACTTACCAACGTTTAGGGAGATCTGTAACATTCAATGAGAGCATCCTGGATGTCAATTAATGAAGGGGGGGGAGGCGACGGTGCTAACCACCAAGACACCTGCAGCCCAGCGGAAATGTTTCTCCTACAACGTAATTAAGAATCCAGTTTAATTAGGTAGACATCTTGTTTGTGGAAACTGGGTTATGAAAGGTTCTTATAACGTTTTGCTCCATGATGACATCAAACACTGTGTGCCCACATTAACGAGCAGCTGTAGCTGCAAACTGATGGATTAACAGCTAAATACATTCTTTCTTGAGTTCAGTAATGTTGGCTTGCCCCTATTGTGCTCCAGACCATTGGTAGGTTGACCACCGCCTCCTCATAAATAATAATAATAATAATAATTAAAGCCGCAAGCGGCGATGGACAGGTCCTCGCCCTACGCTTGTCGGCCTTCCCGCACGGCAGGGTGTGGCGCAAACCTGCTCCGGGTGGGACTGTGATCCGGCATGTCGAGTTTGGGGCAGATGGGAGCAAGTGTGGCCTAGTTACAAGCCACTTCCTGTTTAGTGGCGAGCCGCGGCGGCGTGCGTGTTGGCCGGGGTGGAAACGCGCTCTGGCTGAGACTCGGAGCACGCGTGTAAAATTTCAGGCCGATTGGAGCACAGACACAGCACGTCTCGTATTCTGGTGTTTTATGGCGTTGTGGCCAAATTCAGGGGGGCGCCATTTCCACGCCGTCACACTTGTGCAGACCGTTTTACAAACGTGTAATCACCACCTCCTGTAGTTTGTGCTGGCCAAATTTCAGGTGTGTACGACCTTCCCTGTAGGAGGAGATAGATTGTTTTTTTTTTTTTAAATATATTTTTTGGCCTTTGCCTTTATTTAGAGTAGTAGAGAGAGACAGGAAAGGGGGGAGAAGAATGGGGACAGACCTGCAGCAAAGGGTCGTGAGCGGGATTCGAACTCACGACCGCTGCATCGGGGAACTACAGCCCCTGTTCATGGGCCACCCGCTCTACCAGGTGAGCTATAGGGGGGCCCAGGAGGAGACAGATTGTTAAAATGGTCAAAAATGGCCAAAAGTCAGCCAAATGCGGCAAAATTCTCACAGAGGTTTTTCAACATAACGGACTTCCTGTTGGGTTTAGTTCTTGGTGTTGATGACTTTTTTGTGCGTCCTGACCTGCTACACATGCCCAGCGAATCTTGTAGCTGTAGGTGAAACGACCATCGGACAAGAGTCAGTTGAATGCAAAAAACACTGCGAAAATGGACAAAATGGCCATTGATCGAAATTGGACGTGCCACCATTTCCAAACCGGGCCTCATCTGCGGAGCATTTGAAGAACTTTTAGTCACCATGTCATGTAGTTTGTGCCTGCCAAATTTCAGGTGTGTATGACGAACCCCCTAGGAGGAGTTCGATTTAGAAAATGGCCAAAAACGGCCATTTTTGAGCAAAAATGGCCCGGCATGGTCGCAGTTTTTCCAACATGGCGGATTTCCTGTTGGAGTTACAGAAACATGAAAATGGACTTTTTTGTGCGTCACAAGTTGTTACACATGTGTGGCGAATGCCGTAGTTGTAGGTGAAACGTAGCCGCGATGGGACCCTGTTGAAATATTGTAGGGGGCGCAGTTGAGCCGTGTTGCATTTTACAGGTTGGAGTGGGGAGAGTTTTTTGTTCTTGCCAACCAGCTCTATATGCCTATGAAATTGCGTAGTTCTAGGGCAAACGTGCTTCTGACAGGACTCCGGCGAAATTTTCAAGGTGGCGCTGTGGAGCCATTTTAGCAGTGATATGTCCACATCTCTGATAGTTTCCGATTTCCGCCAGTCCTGAAGTGCATGGCGATTTTGGTGAGTTTTCGGGCACGTTTAGGCCCTCAAAAATGCGTTCAAAGTTTGCGTACCATAATAATAATAATCACAACGGTTACAATAGGGTCCTTGCACTGGTGTGCTCGGATCCTAATAATAATCACAACGGTTCCAATAGGGTCCTTGCACTGGTGTGCTCGGATCCTAATAATAATCACAATGGTTCCAATAGGGTCCTTGCACTGGTGTGCTCGGACCCTAATAAATAACAATAATAATCACAATGGTTACAATAGGGTCCTTGCACTGGTGTGCTCGGACCCTAATTAAAGCTGCAAGCGGCATTGGACGGGTCCTCGCCCGACACTTGTCGGCCTTTGCGCACGGTTGGGGCGTTGCGGGCGGAGCTCTGAGCCAGCATGTCGAGTTTGGGGCAGATCGGAGCCCTTGCAGCCTAGTTACGAGGCACTTCCTGTTTAGTGGCGAGCCGCGGTGGCATGTGTGTCGGCCATGGCAGAAACACACTCTGGCTGAGACTCGGAGCACGCGGGTAAATTTTCAGGAAGATCGGAGCACACACAGGCCAGTTACACAGTACATCTCGTATTGTGGCGCTTTATGGCGTTGTGGCCACGCCCCCAGGAGGCGTTCTGTGTGATTGTGGTCATACGGCTGTGATGAGGGTTCGAGTGTGATGCAACATGTGAAGTTTGAGAGCAATTGGAGCATGTATGGGCTATTTACACTTCACTTCCTGCTTAATGGCGAGCCGAGGCGGCGTGCATGGCGTGGCATGCTGGAAACGTGCTGTGGCTGAGACTCAGAACATGCGTGTAAAGTTTCAGGCTGATCAGAGCACAAACAGGTCACACAGCACGTCTCACTGCGAAAATGGACAAAATGGCCATTGATTGAAATTGGACGGCTGCCATTTCCAAACCGGGCCTCATCTGCAGAGCGTTTGAACAACTTTTAGTCACCACCTCCTGTAGTTTGTGCTCACCAAATTTCAGGTGTGTACGACTTACCCCCCGGGACGAGATAGATTTTGAAAATGGCCAAAAATGGCCAAAAATCAGCCAAAATGGCCAGTGATCAAAATTGGACCGGCCGCCATTTCCAAACCGGGCCTCATCTGCGAAGCATTTTGATAACTTTTAAACACCACGTCCTGTAGTTTGTGCTCACCAAATTTTAGGTGTGTACGACTTACCCCCTGGGAGGAGATAGATTTTTAAAATGGCCAAAAATGGCCATTTTTGAGCGAAAATGGCCCGACATGCTCGCCGTAGATCCAACATGGCGGATTTCCTGTTGAGTTTACAGAAACATGCTAATGGACTTTTTTGTGCGTCACGAGTTGTTACACATGTGTGGCGAATTTTGTAGTTCTAGGTGAAACATAGCCCCGATGGGACTCTTTTGAAATATTGTAGGGGGCGCAGTTGAGCCGTGTTGCATTTTAGAGAAAAGTCCAAGCAGGCTTTTTGTTCGTACCGACAAGCTCTATATGCCTATGAAATTGCGTAGCCATTGGGCAAATGTGCTTCCGACAGGACTCCATTTAAATTTTCAAGGTGGCACTATGGAGCAAATTCTGTACTGACGTGTGTATTTTTTTTCCAGATTCTAAACATTTTCGCCGGGTCTGATGTGTGTGCCAAGTTTCATGCAGTTTCGAGTACGTTTAGGGCCTCAAACCAACCAACCTTGTGATTGGAGGACCACCCGCTCTACCACCTGAGCCACAGCCGCCTGTCTGAACAGTCTTATTGCCAACTGATGGGTTTTCTTTCTCTCCACAGCATCCTTCCCATGAAGCAGGGCATCATGCTGGGCCAGTACCTTGGAGCCTTCAACCTCATGGACACATTCAGAGGACGCTCCAGAAAACAGGAGTGACAGGCGGAGAGGAGAACCACAAGTCTGAGACATGAAGTCTGAAAGCCAACCTTTATTTCTTATGTTAATCTTATTAATGATTTTAGTGTAGCGGTGTGATACTTACAGAGCAGAGCAGACTGGGTTTGACACCTTAGAACCTCCCTCATTCACTTGTTTGTACTTACGCTTCTCTCTGCATCTACAACCTCCATATGTGGCATCTGGACTGCAGGCATCCATCCTGAGCCTGTTTTTAAATCACATGGCACTTTTCTGAGAATCATTTGTAATTAATTCAAATATATGTTTGTAACAGTCAACAGAAGGACCACTTGTTATGGATTTTACTGCTGGTGTCATAGAGAGGCCTGATTTTAGCAGCCAGAGCTCTCGTGTTTTCTCATGTTCATGTTTCTGACATTCCCTTGTTCATCTGGAAAACCTTTCAGTGATTGTTGTAATAATGAGTCCAGAGTGTGTAGATGAGACAACAGATATCAAACATCAATAAACCAAAGAAGCTCATCAGAGCCCAACGACCACGGCTCCAGAACCGACTCATAGTTGGAGCTGAAATGCTATTTTAGTGATGACTGAGAGGCTTTGGCCTGTTCTGGCCTTTTTGCCTTCATGTGCCTCATAGAAATATGTTCACCGTGTTTGTTTGGGTTTTTCAGCACATCACCGACATGAGCTAAATCTGATTTCTTCACTGTGACCAACTATAAACCGTAAAGAGTTAGAAAAAAACAACACATATAACACTTGATTACAAAAATGTGTTTTTACAATAAAAAAGCACTTTGAATGTGGAAAATGTCAGCAGGTTCAGTTATGAACTGACAAAGGAGACGTTTATGGAAGTCAAACTCTATACCCGTATTTCTACCAACAGAATGTTTGTGGAGGTTTAACTCTTTCGCTGCCGCTCTTTAAAGCAGCTTGTGAACAAATCGCAGAGCGAGCTGCAGCTCTGCTTTGCATTTACGTAGAATCAATAATGCAACATGTACCTTATGAAGGGTAAAACTGATCTACAATAAAACTCTATGCAGATGCTTCCAGCTGTGTGCAGACAGCTGTGGCTTCTCTCTCTCTCTGTGCCCCTCCTCACTGCAGAGCCACATCGCAAGACTTCCCAGGAGCTTTCTCTTTTGTTCACCTTGATGCACAACTGGCAAGTCTTCCATCCTTGTGTGGCTTTCTGACTGGCATCTGTTGGCATGGCAACAGGAATGCGGCCAGCTGTCCTGTCATTGGGCGTACCTGTGCTGCCCGCCTCACACAGCTGGACATGGTGGGCTTCACCTGTTTGACAGTGCTGATGTGTAGGATGTAGCATTTGTGGTGGCAATGCCCTTCAGTTGCAGGAACAGGGTACCAGTGTGCTGTTCTGTGCTGGATGGGGTGGTACTGAAGCAGCGGGTCTGAGGTCAACCCCACTGATGTATTTACTGTCCACCAAAAACCACCTGAATACATCACTCTGTCTCTCCTCGACTCTCTCCTCCTCCTACGAAGTCCAGAGTGCCTCAGGAGCTCGCTAAATATCCCGAACTCTGCTCTATGTCTGTCCTCCTCCCTCCTTCAATAGACAGTCCTGCGGTTGGCTTTTGGTTCTGAGCAGCTGCGCCCACCCCCAAATCCCTGCTCTGCTCAGCCTGGACCCGTGGACACGTAGCGCACTGGGAGCAGCTTGCTGTTCCTCCTGTTGATAGGAGTGTCACTAGCAGGCCACCAGAGGTCACATGACAGGAGCTTCCCTTCACCAGACGCCAGTCCTGTAGAGGCATCGGACCAATGAGGCAGCTCGGCCACAAACTTTCTCGCTTATCACGAGAACAGTTTGGCAGAAAGTATTTCTGAAAATATTTGAGGCCAAAACTAAGCTTTCCAGTTGTTGAACCTGTCCTCATTTTAGTTCAACAGCAGCTGGTTTGGTGAGTGCTGGACCTCCGCTCTCCGCCCCTCATTTACATAGAGGTGAGGTCTGGGCCACTTTATGCTAATGAGGTGCAGGAAATGCGACATGGCGCTATAAAATGCATCGTAAGGCATTTCACAGAGACAATGAAACTGTGGACTCGGACCGGTTAAAGGAAGGCCCTAACCCTAACCCTAACCGGGTTAAAGGAAGGCCCTAACCCTAACCCTAGCTTGATGGAGGGGGATAACAAACCTTCTCTTTTTTCAGGATTATGCTAAACTTATTCTAAAAGCTCGATATTATTTGTTTACATCTGTAAAAAATAATATATATAAATAAAAAACCCGGTAGTAATAATAATTAAAGCTGCAAGCAGCGTTGGTCGGGTCCTCGGTCTGCGTTGGACCCTCATGCCCGTCTGACCATTCTTCAAGTGAAGCCTGCATTAAGCTGAAGGAGCCATTTTTCTCTCTCTCCTCAGCCTCAGACTGTCAGTGAGTCACATGACCAGCTGCACTGACCTGTGATGATGTCATGATGACTCAGCGTTTTTCGTGCCCCTGGGTGAGAGAGCTGAGAGTTTTACTCACTTTCTCTCTCCCATACAGCCACAATTTTCACCAAATATGTGTAAAAACAGCATATTTTTGTAGTAAATCTTGTTTGGAAGCCCACAGTGTCATTTTTAAAGCTTTAGGACCTTTAGTTTTTTGTGTAGATGACCAACTGACACAACATGTCGGCACATGCCCCCATAGACACCCATACAAAGTATGAGCCGAGGCTGCGACAGCTCATCAACTTTAACGGCTCGCCATTCGAAAACCGTTTGAGATACGCCAAATCCTTTCAGAACTTTTGTATATCAAGGCCTTCTCTGTATCTTGTGCGATTTTCAAGCTGGTGCGATTTACGGTGTCAGACAAGATCATTTTTTCCCAAAAGAAGTTTTTGCTCATTTTTTTACTTTGAAAGGCAAATTGTGGACTTCCTGTTGGAGATAGGTCAGGGGTGTCAGCACGAGATTTGTGGGTCTCATTGAGACGAACGTTTTGATGTTGGTTTGATCTCTGTATGACATTCCTACTGGGCGCTATGGCCATTTTAGTGTGTTTTTCTGTAACTAGGTGGCGCTAGAGAGCATTTTTGTTCTTTTTTTTATTTTATCAAATTTTTCGCCGATTCGGACGTGTGTGCCAATTTTGGTGAGTTTTTGAGCGTGTTTAGGGGGTCAAATTAAGGCAAACGCGTTTGTCAGGAAAATAATAAGAACAAAGAAAGAAACGAAGCGGGAACAATAGCTGCTTGCTGCAGCAAGTAGGGGTCCTCGGACCCTAATAATAAAACCAAAAAAGGTTTTAGTTGTAAATCAACACTGAGACTGCAGACAATCGGAGAACTGAGACATGCTCTGCAAAGCAAGTTCAGAAGAGCCAGGATACAGTGATCTGGTTTCACTCGGCTCAGCAACTAGTCAGGAAGGGAAGCTGGACAAAGCAGCCTGCAGGTTGTGTTCATGTGCATGCTGTAAGGTCCAAGGAGCTCTGATTGGAGCTACAGCCTACACCACTGTGGAGAAGTTGCTCAGATGCAGGTTTCTTGTTTAAGATTCCTTTTAATTCTAGTTTTGCATCACAAGATGTCACAACAGAACTCCAGATGTAATGATTCAGCTGTTCACAGCGAAGACAATATTTAAAGCTGGCAAAGAGACCAAAAGTGAAACTGGATTTTTACTTTAGAGTCAAGTCCTTTGAGGCCAAAAAAAAGACTTGCTGCCACTAAATGGGCCATAGGTGGCGCTATGGAGCAATTCCTGTACTGATGTGTGTATTTTTTTTCCAGATTATAAAAATTTTCGCCGGGTCTGATGTGTGTGCCAAGTTTCATGCAGTTTCGAGTACGTTTAGGGCCCATGAATGTCTGTGTTGGACGATGGAGATACAGTTTATATGAATGCTTCTGCTCAGAGCCTGAGTGTTTTAGATCCAGTGTATCACGGCGCTTTAAGGTTTATCACCAACTTTAAGTCTTTTACTCATCACTGTTTGTTGTATTCTCGTGTTGGACGGTCAGTTTGTCCACACAAAGGAAAAAACACCGGCATATTTTAATGTATAAATGTATTTTAGGCGCGCTTCCTTGTTATTTACAGGTTTTCATTTGTATAAACACTCCTCGTGGTTCCAGTTTGCTGTCCCAGGATCTGCTGCTGCTGTCTGTTCCTGAGGCTGGAACCGAACAGGGACAGAAAGCTTTTAAAGTCACTGCTCCTCCACCTGGAACACTTCACAAAAACACCTGAAACTTCAGGAGCTGCTCACTTTATACACGTTTAAAGTGTTTTTAAATGACTTGGAGGCAGAACCATCATCTGTAGATGTTTGGACACATGATTATTTCACTAGTTACGTCTCTGATCTCTGCTGATGTGTTGATTTCTTATCTTCAGTATGTCATCACCATGAATTATGAGTCTGATGTCTGTGTGGTGCTGCTGCCTGTCTGGACCAGAACACTCTTGTAAAAGAGATTTCTTACTTAGATGATCTAAGTGAACCTTTTCCTGATTAAATTAATTTTATTAAAAAAAATGTAACAATAAAAAAATCAAGTAATTTAAAAAAAAATGAAGGTTAAAACTTTTCCCAATACTTCCCTTTAGGTATTATTTAGTCTCAATGAAGAGCTCAAGTTTTTAACGTCTGAGCAATGGGGGGATGGGTTAGCTTAGGGTTAGCTTAGGTCAGGTAAAATGAACAGCGTCCAGTGCAAGGGCAACAGAGGTCTGAGTGATGTGGTCCTCTCCCAAACTCAGTCCTTGCGTGAGGATATTGTGGAGTTTGTTGATGAGGCTACACAAGAACTGCAATGATGCACTGATTCCCAATGATGAGTCAAGAGGGACCCCTAGTGTCCGAATGCCTTCACCACAGCCTGCTCCAGGACAAAGTGCTTGATACAATAAATTGATTTTTCTTTTAAAAACACAAAACCAAACTAACTAACAAAAAAACAGAAAGCAATGTAAATAAATAGGACTGCAAATGAAAAGAAGCTTTCTGCTAAATCACTCAAAGGTGATGATTTCTTATGGGTTAACACAAAAGATCGCTGGCCCTTTGACACAAATAAAATGTATTTATTTAGAACTAAGTAGGCTACAATATTTTTGAAGTATACAATTCACAAGACTAGTAAAATAAATGACCATACACCCATCTTCAAAATGTGTACCTTAAAATGCAAAAGTTTAAAAGTTTTATTTTAGAAAAAAAATCAGACATGAAACAGCCAGCAACAGCGTTTATTGTTTTGTTGTCAATAAAGTAGTACACAAGTCCTTGGACTCCAGAGCTCTGTTTCTCACTGATGAGACAAAATGGAAGAAAATAGCAAGTATGTAGCAAGCCAAAAGATTAACAGTGACAATAATAGAAAAAAAGCTTGATATGTTGAGTTAAATGAAAATACAAATATTCTGAGTATATGTGGCGTGTTCCCCCACTGCTTCTGTTATCATCCCTTGCTCACTCATTACTCTGACTTTCATATAGTCTAACACATGTAAACGCCGACACACTGACATTTTTATGGTATTGAGTTGAAGAAATAGTTTATTTGAAAAAAAAAGTAATTAAGACACTTTCTGCAGAGCAAAATGTCTAAAATGTTAACGTTAAATTAAACGTCAATATCTTCCCAAAATGTAAACGACCTACGTGCTGCTGTCAACTGCAGTCGGTTGGGAATGTACAGTTAAAATGACATTAAGTGTTAATTTAATGACATTAAATGTTAACTTAGAAATACACCTGAACCGGCATTGACATCTTCTTCTTCCTGGTTTATTGGCGCGCATTGGCTTCTTCTTCTTCTTCTTCTTCTTCTAATGCTTTGGCGCGCATTGCCTTCTTCTTCTTCTACTGCTTCTCTACCTGCGCGCCACCATACCAACAGCAGGCGGGGGCATGGTGTGTAGGGGGCCTGGTGTGTGCGGCGTGGTTTGCTGCGGCTTCGGGGACAGCACCGGCTGCAGTCAGGTATTATTGGGCGGGGGCATGGTGTGTAAGGGGCCGGGGGACATGTTGTGTAGGGGGCGTGTTGACTAGGGGGCGTGGTTTGCTGCGGCTTCGGGGACAGCACCGGCTGCAGTCAGGCATTATTGGCGGGATCGGATCCAATAGGAAGGGTATGTCTGCAGAGCCGGAGACCGCACGTACAGGGCTGCTGTTACAGGGCTGCATGTGGAGGGCTGTTCTCATTTTCTACGGCCGTATAAGTGCACGGCTTCTAGTTCGGGTGCGCGACGTAGTTTTAAAGGGTGATTTCACTCAAAATATACTTCCAATTTAAAAAATATATATATTTAAGAAGCGTATTTTTTACCCCTTACCGCTCCTCCGTCCCGCCGGCGGGACGTCACCACTTTCCAAAAACATTGCAGCCATATGTGCTGGCTCCACAATCACGTTTCCCGACAATATACACATCAAATGAAAGCTCAGAGTCTCCTCTTTCCGATGATATAAACCTTTTTGACCTGCAGCAACCACAGCGTTGACACAAAGAGCTTTTTGTACAGAAAAGCAAAATGTTAAAATCCTAGTTTTCTTACTTTTGAAGGCTCTCTGCAGCTCAAACATCGCTCATTCCTCACCAGCTTGGTCTCATTCTGTCCGGACAGAACCAGTGAACATAATCCCGTAAAATAATTCGGTCCGTAAAACGTATTAGATCCTCAAAGGCACAAATTCTGAAGTAATGTCTTCCCAGCTTGAGATCAGCTCCGGCTGTTTTATTCATTTCTTCTGGCAAAATCAGGCTGAATCTATTTTAGATCGCACTGAAAGCGTTACAGTCAGCTGGACGGACGCCTAAGCTTTTGATTGACATCTAGTCTGGCCAATATGAGGGCTTTGGGGGTGAGTGACAGCCTGAAGAGCCAATGGAGTGTCTCAGACAGTCAACCCGGTCCGCACAAGTCCCACCCTTGTAGATTCGACCAGTCGGGTTGCAGACACTCTCTGAAGCTGTAAACTTGTAGCCAATGAGCAGACGAACACGTGGATGTGTCGGAAGGCAGGATTGTGTGTATGTGGCGGTATCGGATCGACCAGTTACCACTGTGAAGTAAATCATCCGATACCGTAATTTCGTCCAGTATCGGCTGATACCGATACCCAGTATCTGATCGGCGCATCACTAATATATATATATATAGATATGTTATATATATATGAATAATTTCCCTGAGTTTGCACCAAAGGGATCAATAAAGCTCTGTTCTATTCTGTTATATTCATTACAGTAGTCCAGTCTCGAGCTAATAAAAGCATGGATTGCCTTTTGGAGACGGCTTCACTTTGGCCAGGACACGGAGCTGAAGAAAGCTTGTTCTAACAACAGAACTAATCCATTTATCAAATTTAACGTTCTCCCAAGGTTTTTTACAGCTGGTTTAAAAAAGGGGCCAGAGTATCAGAGGCTGCAGTAAAATAATTCAACATAGGTGGCGTGCCAAACCACATACATTCTGTTTTGCTGTCGTTCTAGAGCAAAAAGTTCTGAGCCAGCCGCTGCTTTACATCAGTAATACATTCAGACAGCTTAGTGAGCGCAGTGTTTTCATTGGTTCTCAAATATATCTGCAGATCATCAGCATCAAAGTGAAAATACAGATTGTGTTAACTGAACCCAGGGGTAGCAGATACAAATAAAATACATGTACAAAGTTCATAAATCCCCCGTACTTGCAAGGGTTGGGGTCCTGAAGCAGGTGTGCGGAGTTTCATTGATGATTCTGTAACCCAATCCCAAACAGGATTCTCACTTCTAGGTCCTTAAGGAGCAGGGAAGAGTATAATGACCACCACAAGACCAACTCTCACAATTAGTGGCACTTTAATGTGCAGAAGAACAAAATATGTACACTGGTATGAAAAAAAACAAACAGCCCTTTAAAAGAAAATAAAATGTCCTTTTGTAAGTTCTTTTTCGGTGTTCAGTGCTTCAAAAGTCAAGTCAGCTTAAATGCAGTTTTTGATCTGCAAGTCTAAAATCAAGGATCCCTACGTTCGTTGGAGTGCACTCTTTAAGATATAGGGTCGTGTTGGTACCGATGTTAAAACCGGCACACTCCTACCACAAAAGCAACCGGAGGGTTTGCTTTTTAGCACATCGTAGATTCTGGTTCTGGATTCACACTGGGAAGGCTCGCCATCTCTTGGAACGTCTTCCTGGTTCGCATCACTTTTCCAACTCAAAAGAAGACCAGAAGATCTGAAGACTTGAAAACCTCAAGGCCTGAAGACCTCAAGACCTAAAGACCGGTCGACTTCAAGACCTGAAGACCGGTAGACCGGTAGAAGACCTGACCTGCATTGGAAAATACAGGCTTAAAGTCTATTCTATTTGTCTATAACATATTTCTTCCAGTATTTCTCTAAATTTTCTCTTTTGTTGTACAACACATTCTCAATTTCTATTACAATAGGATTATGCTATCCCAGCTATTTAAATCTTAATCACATTCAAGTTCAACAAGAAAATAGTGTTTAACTATTTTTTAGTTTAACCACTGTCAGTAGAAAACTGACAACTTATTCAAAGTAGCACAAAATGCATCTAACTTAAAGTATGAAATTGCTTTTAGTGCAAAAACATTTACTGTACAATGATCAACACTTAAGATATTAATATTTCACAGAAGCTCACACATTTAACACAGCAAAATGTACCATTTTACCTTAAATGTGCTTTCATACACATAAAATAATATTTCACATCAACATGAATTAGCCCAGTTGGTAGCACTGTTGCCTCGCAGCAAGAAGGTTGCCGGTTCGCGTCCCGGTGGGGCACCGGGATCTTTGTGCGTGGAGTTTGCATGTTCTCTCCGTGCAGCGTGGGTTCTCTGGCTTCCTCCCACACAGTCCAAAAACATGTTGAGGTTAATTGGTGATTCTAAATTGTCCGTAGGTGTGAATGTGAGTGTGCTTGGTTGTCTGTCTCTAAGTGTGGCCCTGCGATAGACTGGCGACCTGTCCAGGGTGTCCCCTGCCTTCGCAGCCCCCCGCGACCCTAATGAGGATTAAGCGGTGTATAGATAATGGATGGATGAATTAGCCCTGTGGCTGAAATGTGCATTACATGTTTCTGCTATACACACCACAGTGATTCAACCCTTAGATGAACATGTAAATAATTACAAAAAATACTGGGTTTAATGCAACATTTTTCCCTTCAAACAATAAATAAACAGCAGCAGCTTGCATGTCAACAGCCATGAGATGTCTCACCGATATTCACGAATTCCACCACCGAGTGAAGAAGAGATTCTGCCTCTCCACGTGGTGCAGCTGAGTGAGGAAGCGAATGACGCTCTCCTTAAGCTTTATATTCGCTCCACTTTATCGCTCTCTGCTCGCTCTTTGCTCTGCTCGCGGCATGCGTTGCCTCTCGCTGCGATGCCCCGCGATTAAGAGGAAAAGGAAACTTACGCGCGCTGCCTTGCTTTCGGGTACATGCTTTTGCTGACATCTCACTGGCTGTGACTGGTCATGTGATCCAGCAAGCTGAGTTCAAGTGCATCACTGCTTTGCACAAACACTTGTGTGATTCATTTCAACAATTAAAATAAAATAGTTTTTGTTGTGCATCTCCTGGTGTAAATAAAATAAATAACCAAAATAATATTAATTAGTGAACCTGGTTTTCACCTGGGTTACAATTCTTATGACAGCCATTTTGTATTGATTAAGAGTGCGGTCACCTGATGATCAATAGATTGAGCGGGGGAGGGCGCTGTGGATTAGCTCTGTGTTAGAAGCTGTAGAAAATGACGGTTATGGAGGAGCGTTGTGAACTTAACGTAAATCCAGGTTCGTAACTTTTGGTTCTCGTTGTGGATTTTAGAGGAAACCAGGATGTCTGGAGGATTAATGAGTTCTCAGAAAGAGTTTCATTGATTTTTAGGGTAAACGATGATCACTGAGTATAATGAATGATGTCATTTCTATTCCGATGTTTCATGGTTTAGGATTACCTAACCCTAACCCTGACATCTGTGAGGCGGAAATAAAAAGTTGCTGAAACAGACATTTCTGAGGCGTCTCCTTCCCCCACGTGCTCGCATGCTGATTGGCTCCAGGGGGAGCGTGAAGGTGCTCCATAGCCACATCTGCACCTGTAGATAGGTATATGCTGGGCAAAAGTCACTGACTTATTTCAGTGGGTGTAAAAGTGGACAGATTAAATGTTGGAGGTTGAAGACCAGGGGAGGTCCACTGTAGTGTGGGGAACCAGCCACCGCGGTTCAGCAAGATCTGGAGCCTAAAAGGTAAGTCGGTTGAAAGGTGGGAGGGGAAGGGGGAAAGGCAAAGGGGGGAGCTTGGGTTAGGGAATCGAAATGCTGCCTGTTGAGACCGGTGTATTGTAAAGGCACTTTATCTATTGTGTCTCCAGGACAGCCTGTATGGGCCCGGCTGAAGAGGAAAAAATCGGACTCTGTGCCGTGGTTCTGGCCCTGTCTGAGTGGAGGTGGAGAAGGAGAATAAGGAGGAGGTGACGACGAGGGATGAGGAGGAGGGAGACTGACTATGAAGTGGAGGGAGGAGGTGCACCTGGGGGGCAGAAGGAGCATTAATCTGCACCACATGGTCAGTTTGTCTAATGAGGACAATGGGGGAGAGAGGTGGTCGGGCAGGAGTTGCCCCCGCTCAGCCTCCAGGTGGCGACAGTGGGCTGTCCTGGCACCTGGGGGTCGACTGTGTGTTTGTGAGAGGGAACGTCTCCGGTCCTGGCGCCGGCTCACCCCCCAGCTCACTGCCCAATCTGTTGTTAACTTCCTGTATCTGATCTATCAAGAGCGATTCTATTCTATTCTATTCTATTCTATTCTATTCTATTCTATTCTATTCTATTCTTTACCAGGGTGTCTCTGTTCTGTGATGCTTCTAAATCCTGACTGAAACTCTTCAGACAAACCATTTCTATGCAGATAATCACATAACTGGCTGCAACAGCTTCTTCCAGAACTTTACCAATCAAAGGGAGGTTGGATCTGGGCCTATAGCTAGAACACCTGGATCTAGAGCAGGCTTTGTGAGCAGTGGTTTTATTAGAGCTACTTTAAAACCCTGCAGTACGTAGCCTGTTAATATAGAGAAGCTGATGATATTTAATACTGCAGTATTCATTAGAGGGAAGACGTCCTTGAACAGTCCAGCTGGGGCTGGGTCCAACAGACATGCTGCTGGTTCAGAAGAATTTACTATGGACGTGAGCTCTGACAGGTTTACAGCAGAGAAGCAGTGACAGTATAGATCTGGTCCTATGGATGCATCCAGAGCTGCTGCTGCACCTACAGACATGTTCATGAGTTTCTGTCTCATATTCAGACTTCATCAGTGAAGAAGGTCATGACGTCTTCACTGCTGAGAGCTGAAGGAAACAAGGCTCCACAGAGCTGTGACTCTTTGTCAGCCTGGCTTCAGTGCTGAACAGAACCCTGGGCTGGTTCTGGTTTTCCTCAATAAGGATGAACAGTAGGCAGTTCTTGTCCTGCAGATCACTTTTTATAGGAGAGGACACTGTCTTTCCAGGCTACATGAGGTTCTTCTGACCAGAGGAGCTGCTCTCCATTGGTTGGCATTGAAGTCAATAATCCTGGAACCATTTCCTTAAATGTAGATCCTGCGTTATCAGACAGACATCTGCTGTAATGGACTCTCTGGGAGGTGCTCCATAGTCCATGACTAGAAATTCACATGCTGTTAAAAATGACCGACGAGAGCCGAGAGCGTTGTCTCAGAGAGCTGCAGGACCCACACGGGGGCAGCAGGACCCACACGGGGGCAGCGGGACCGACACGGGGGCAGCAGGACCCACACGGGGTCAGCGGGTACGACACGGGGGCAGCGGGGGCAGCGGGACCCACACGGTGGCAGCGGGACCCACACGGTGGCAGCGGGACCCACACGGTGGCAGCAGGACCGACGCGGGGGCAGCGGGGCCGACACGGGGGCAGTGGGACCCACACGGGGGCAGTGGGGGCAGCGGGACCCACATGGTGGCAGCAGGACCGATATGGGGGCAGCAGGACCCACACGGTGTCGTGGTTCACTCTGGGGTCAAGCTAAACTTCTGTTTCTGTCTCGTCTTCCTGTTTCTGTTGGCAGCTTTTATTTTGTAGTCTGGTCTTCATGTGATCTTTGTCAGCTCTACTTCCTGTTGTCACCTCCTCTTCCTGATTGGTGGCTCCGCCCTAATTGTGTCCAGCTGCTCCCCATTAGCTCACCTGTGTATTTAATGTGTGAGTCTCCCTTTGTCCTGTGCCAGTGTGTCATGTTCCTGCACCGTTCCTGTCTAAACCGTCCAGAGCTCCAAGCTCAGTGCTCCTGAGTTCTGCTCCTTCTATTTGATGCTTTGTTCTCCAGCTTTGCTGGGAGTTTTTTGTTTGTTTTTTTCTGTCCAGCGACCTAAAGAGAGGTTTTCTAGATCTGCTGAGTTTTTGTGTCGTATTTGACATTTTTGTGAATAAACAACTTTGTTGTCTGTGAAGATTCTCAGTCCTCCACGTCATGGTTATTCTGGCAGATTAATCGTAGCAACTGGACCTGCTTGAATTTGTTAAAGAAAAGTCAGAACTGAAGAAGCCTCTTGGATGAGAGGTGGACATCTTCAGCAAACTTTTATATCCACTCATGTGACTGCAAACACCTGGGTATGTCAATTGTTCATCTGTGTATCTCTGATGTGCACATCACTTGAGGAATTACCTATTTTGCATTATTTTTTACATTTTTCTATTCCCAGCATCACCTCCAGGTGTGGCCAACAGCTCAAACGCAATGGAAACGTGCGTACACCAGTCAAGAAGTTGACATGGAAGATCACACATTTCCATGTTCATTTCACTCTTGATACATCTGAACGTGAGCGTGGAAAAGTGCATACGCCAAGTTTTTGTGCGCACCCTCTGTACTTGAGGGCCCTTGATGAACTTGAAAAATGCAAACCCATGTTCCCTCCTTATATCCTCCTCATGACAGTCATAGCTTCAGTTAATACAGCAGGGCTTCATGATAGGGTTAAATTATTGGGGATACCTAACAATAAGGAATGGTCGATAATATGTGTGCAGGGGACCAAGTGGCTCAAGTAACCTACAGACTTCCTCAGGAAAAACTGGGAAGGTGAAATATATTCTGTAGAGGGAAAGGGAAGGTCTTGCAGCGTAGCTGTGTTCATAACAAACAAGGAAAAAATAGAATCAAAATGTGCACACAAAGATACAGAAGGTAGGTTAATAGTCAAGGAGTTGGAGATAGAGAAAAAGACATTAGACTGATTAATGTCTATGCCCTGAACGAGGACTCGAAAAGGAAGGAATTCTTCAGAAAAATCTTAAAATGGCACACGGCAGACTTTATATTTATAGGAGATTTTAATACAGCACAAGCCAAAATAGATGTCTCCAAGAATAACACTGTCAAAAATGATGTGGCCCACACCGGGCTGGGGCACCAGATGTGGTCTGGTGGATGGATGGAGGCTGCTCAACCCGGGAAGACTGTCATGTCCAGGAGACAGCTTGTTCAAAATAAAGGGCATATATTTAATGGTTGAATATACGACAAAATGATGGTACTAATATTCCTTTAGCCTTATGTCAGAAACAGCTGTGACGTATTTAATATAGTGAAGTTCTGGAAACCACAGCTTTTTACCGTAAAAACTACAGGATAGTTTTGACAGTGTGAAGAAAACCAGAGACACATCCTGACAGTGATGGAGCTGTGATGAAGGAGCAGACCTTCCTGCTGCTCCATTCAGACTCACTGGGTCAGAACCAGACCGTGGAAACAGCAGCACTTCTGTCTGGATCCTCACAGTCTGAGGAGTTTTTTCATGTCAAACACTGACATTATTTCACTTTGCTGTTGTTCACTGTGAGAAACAGATCCACTGACTTCACAGCACATCTACAGATAATGAACATGTTGGACTCAGGTCACACAGGGAAGCTTTGGTTGGATCCACTTTGTTCAGGTGGATCTTCTGTGACAACAAGTTCTTCATGTGTTCAGTGACGACAGCAGGCTGCTGTTGGAGCCTCAGACGTTCATGCTGGATGCTGATGGTGTCAGACATCAGTCAGCTCAGTGCTGTGGACACACTCACAGGTCTGGACCAGAGGAGGCTGGATGGAGCTCTTTCATCTCAGCTCAGGACATTTTAGAAACCTAATGTGGAAATTAGCTGCAGTACACCATCAGTCCACAGGGCGCTGCAGCATTAAGCAGTCCAGGAACAACAAGTGACTCTGCACCAGTTCAACCTGCAGAACACTGACTGTGAACTGACAGGACGTTGAGATGAACAGGACTGATGTGCAGCTGGACGGTTCAGAGCCTGTGGTGAAATCAGAGAGAGCAGATCAGGTGGAGGTGGAGTGTGGAGCAGAAGGAATGGAGGAGTCTCAGGGAGTCTTAGAGACTGTAGCAGGACAG